CATGTGTGTGGATGCTGAGTGTAGACGTTATATTGTTTGATGCAATAATATCAAAGATTTGATGCACCATCATCAGGTTTGCGCATTGCTCCTCCTGAGGCACCTGTAACTGGCTACATGTTTGGGAAGGGGGTTTACTTTGCTGACATGTTCTCCAAAAGTGCAAATTATTGCTATGCAACTCATATTAAGGATGGGGTGCTTCTTTTATGTGAGGTTGTTTCTTGTCTGATTGTAAACATTGTTGCATTACTAATAGACTTGATGTCAGGAATCTGGATTTAAACTCCAATGATCAATTTCACCAATTGATGCTGCATGTCAATTATTATTAGATCATTACAGCAGACCAATTTGGAGTTTTTTTTTTGTTGCATTGCTTTGTTATCTTATGTCGCTGAAATATAATGTGAATATTAGCTGTAATATTCCATCACAAGATTACGCTTGCAATGTGTTCATTATTGTTCCTCATCTTCAGGAAGTTGATTTATATTAGGGTTTTTTGGGTACTGTGTCATTATTGATTCACATCTTCAGTAAGCATGATTATTTATTGGCTGTACAATTAGGTTGCACTGGGCGAGATGGCTGAGCTTCTATGTGCTAACTATGATGCTGATAAATTGCCAGAAGGAAAATTAAGGTTTTTGTTTCTCCGAATTCTAAGTTATCCCTATTCTGTTAGTCTTTTTCAATGGCTAAATCTAAAAAATTTCTAAGCTTCTAAGTAATATAACAACTTTTCATGTATGCTTTAATAGTTATTTTTTATGCTAATGCAATCTCATACTGCAGCACAAAAGGAGTAGGAGGAACTGCACCGGATTTTTTGGAAGCTCAGGCACTTGAGGATGGGCTCGTAGTTCCCCTAGGAAAGCCAAAAAGCAATTCAGGCACAAAGGTATGCACTAGAAGTTTAATTTTAATCAGCAGACAAGTTTATCGATGATGGCTATAACTTGATACTACACATTTTTGAGTGAGTGCAAGACAACACTTCACATTTATTCTCTACCACTTTGAATTGCAGGGTTCTCTAATGTACAATGAGTACATTGTTTATAATGTGGAGCAGATTAGGATGCGTTATGTTGTTCACGTAAAATTCAATTTTAATCGAAGAAGGTAGCTGCCAGAAATGATTACTATGTTATTACATGTATGATGTTATTTTTAATATGTATGATGTATTACATGTATGATGTATCTTTCACCATTTTCTACTTTGCCAAGCCAATCAACAATATGAGTATCTGTGTAAAAGTATTTTTACTGAGACAAGTGAAAAAGCTTGCACTGTGTTTTTGCCCATTGTGATTAAGGAATGTGTAGTCTCAAAGTATTTTTATTGAATGAGCATGTTTTATTCACACGGTAGGTTTAAGGTTTGAGCAAATGTTAGAAGGACTTTAAACTTTGTTTCATTTATCAAATTCAATGGGCAAATAAAGAAGGAAGTGTCTTTTTGTTGTGTTGCTGTTCCTTTGTCTAAAACATAGTCAAACATATACATCAAGTGCTGTTGAAATTTTGGTGCTTGAGAGTATGATTGAGTTTGAAAAGCCTTTGAATAGTAGGAGTGCCTGACCAAATAAAGCATTTACTACATACCAAGTGCAGGATGCACACGCCATTATTAAACCATAACATACCCCTAACTTTTCTTTAATAAAAAACCCATAACTTCTCCAACCAAATCCATCTTTAAATAACATTAAAACACTACCCTTTACTGCATGGACCTTGTTGGTTCTTTAATGCATTTGAGACATAGAAAAGCAATGTTGCATTTCACATTTTGCCCTTTGTGCATAATTAAATTGGTATGGCAGTGAAGGATAGAGCAAAGAGTAATGATGGGGATGAGTAAATGTAAGAGCTATGTAGAAACTGAACTAGGATTTGAACCATTGGTGCACGTAACAGGTTCTCAGCATGCTATTATTCACTAGACATTGCAATGTATTATATCATTACTCCTCTCCATGACTATGGAAAAAACCCTCTCAAAATAGGGCTTGTAAGGGGCCATACATCATGGAATTCTAATAGTTTTTGTCCTTGCTTTATACAACATTTTTCAATTGGAACTGGCTATGGAAGAAACTACAAGTTGAATCACACGTAACACATTATCACATTTCAATGTTTATTAATATTAGTGTTAGACTTTAAAATATTTCGTGAGCCTTTAATGATTCATAAGAACCTTTTAATTAGAACATTGACATTATGACATTCACATGTGATAAATGAAGAGATTGAAGAATACATGATTCCATTGATGTATCTATTCTACTGCACTTTCTAGTTGCATTTCTGATTGTCTTTCTGGTTGTCTTTGTTCTCACCTCCCCGCCTTCTCTTAATGCGTTCCTTGATTATTAGGAACTCAGGAGTTACAACCCCTCCTCTATCATGGAAACTACCCATGAAGTGAGAGGGGAAGGGTTTACCAATAACCCCCATTAGTTTGATCCATCAATTGTTAACCATTATTACATTAGGCACTTTCATTCAAACTAGTAACTTCTAAGAACATCGACCAGTTAATTGTTGAATTAGTCTAACCATTATTCCATTGAATCACACCCCATAATAATTCAATGTATTTTGAACTGGCTGTGGGAATATATTTTGTAAATATTGTTTAGATTTAGGTTCTCCTTATTTAATTCAATGTTTTGCCTATGTATAATAACCAAATTTATACATCATGGTAACATATCGTATAGACCCTATTTTATCCTAGGTTTTATTGGGTCATTTTTGATTCCAAGCAAATGATTCTATCCAACTATGGGGTTGAGTATAAATCAAGGTAAACTTGTATCAATCTTTCCCACACTCACCCCTTTAACTACACTAATGAAGAATTCTGCATATAATTCTCAATTTAAGAACTCAAGTCTAAGACCTATTGGGAGTGCTTTAAGAATCCATAATCTTATTTTCTCTCTTTGTATTTTTAAAATCATGGTGAAATTTTGATGGATGGGTTGTTAATATAATTTTAAAAGTAAAACAAATTAAAGAATTTTTCACCACATTCCAAACATGTGAGGAGGTGGAAATATACATTGATCATTTATGGCTATGTGTTTAGCCCTTGACTTTGAAGTAGCTACAAGTAACGTTTGATAAATAGTATATACAAGTCTTATCTATCGATTTCACATAGTATAGTTTTTATGTTGATATTTACTGAAATTTTTCTCCTTATACCTTAACATCGTTGAAACTAATGTACTTCAAAATAAATCAAAAAGTAAAAAGGAACCTATTCATTTTAATAATAAAAATCACTTTTCAGGATATTTTTTATTAAGACCGACACGTTTACACGAGGTCTAGAGAGTTGCCCATATTTCACATCGTGCCTTATCAAGAAAAAACAGTTCTTCAAGGGCAGTGTTTAGGTATTTAAGTTACAAGTTGAAATTCTTGTAGTATACCCGTTTGTCCTACACAGAAGTGTGTCACTTCATATGTCACTTGTAATTCGTTGAAAAAAGATGTTTAAGTTAAAAGTTTTTAATTAAATATTTTTCTGATCAATCACAACAATTAACGCATAGATTGACACACCCTGAAAAAAGCTTTTGAGAGAAAATATAAGGAAGGAGCTATTACATATAGGGAATCATATCAACCTATGCAGCTTCCAACTTTTCTCTAAAACTATCAAAGGCACAAACACATGCCATACTCAAATTTTTGAACCCAACACGCAAAGCCTACGTGCACTCTTACATTATTCTTCTCCCCCTTTGCACCATCCAATTCCTTGTTAATGAAAAACCAATAATGATTTTTCTTCAATGAGTTTTGCATCAAATATGTAATTATGGGTTTTCCATTGAAATTTGAGAGTGGGGTTATATTAGAAATATACAAAAAAATAGGTGAGAAAATCTAATGATTTCATATCATGAAGTATATGTTTGTAAGGTTGAAAATTCAGGGGTTAAAAAGTTAATATTTAACGAATAATCAGTTATGGTTCAATTGAAAGTCTTTAGTATAATTAGTTAAATCAATCTGTGTATTAGTATAAAATGATATAAAAGAGCATATAAGTCATTGACTTATAAGTTTTAAGTTATTCCAATTAACTTATTAAAACAGAGCTCATAATAAGTAAGAGTCTTTTTTCTAAAAAATCTCTCCATAAGCCCTCAATGATTTTGCTAAAGCAGCTTACTCAATTAACCTCATTCTAGTGATCTCGTTTAACATCTATTTTTGAACCTTATATTTTTTATATATCATATAGAGTTACTTTTATCTCTTTCTCTTCATTATTTTTATATATATATTTGCATTTTTAAAACGAGAAAAAAAAATGTATATGTTGTCCGTGTAAAAGTTTTATACATTATTAGTCTACTATTCACCATTCATTTTTTATCATCATTAACTCTTAAAAGAAATAATACATAATACAAATGAATGATAGATGATGCAACGACTGTATATAATTGTTACATTGACATAGTACAATTATTGGGAATTAAATCTCACATCGTCTGCTTCATTGTCAAATGTTGGACCACTCTTCTCATTATCAATTAATTTTGAGATGAAATCTTGACAACATTAGGGTACAAGATAAAGGACATGATCATAGTACTAGTTCTACCCTCTTTTGCTGCAATAAACATGAAATGAAGAAAGGGAGTTGGTGACTTTTTTAATTGATATTTATGAATTTAAGGTAGACAAGACTCAAATTGGGTTACCTTGGATATCCCCATGTTTGAATTTGTGTGTATAGTGATGGCATGTCATAAGCATTGCTACACTTCACTTCACTCATTGCTTTCTGCCACATTATTTACTACTTAGATAAATCTTTCTCCTTTGCCTATGTCACTTTCTCACTCTATGTCTCTAAAGTTGAGACCTATAAATACATAACCTTTTTGCTCTCTCTACCTCAACATAATTCCACTATCTTCTCAAAGGTTGTTCACATTTTTCTTCACTAGGCGAGAAACTCCTCGTTGGAGAAGCAGGGCACGTGCAAATCTTTTGGCTTCGTTATCTCACATGCCTTTTTGCACGTGCTCCCCTTCTCCAACATGGGTTACTCACCTTGCCTCTATTAATACAGTTTCTCAAGCAATTCTACCACTTCATGAGGTAATATATTGTTTTATTTTCCTTGTGTAACTTTGTCCTAAGTACTGTTCCAAATTTGTACCCTATAACAATTTTATAGTGACTTGGATTTCCCAGTTAGCAAGTTTTTTAGGTGAAGCTATGTACCATGCGGGGCATGAATGTTTATGTATGTGGAGTATGATCACATTCACTTTTTTAATGTTATTTTACTTTTAGTTTGAAATTGGATCAAAGGACACTTTTCTGAGTGTTGTATAAGCAGTTTCTGAAGTTGAATAATGTAACTCAACTACTAGAGACACGGAGCCTAAAAGCTACCTAACATATAGTTAACTGGTATGCGGTACGAGTATGGATATGTGTTCACTATGAGACATTCATTCTTTATGATCAACACGACTTATATGTGGTGCACATTACGGTGAATTTGGTACCCTATATGCATGATAAATGAAAAAATTATACAATTTTGTTAAGGGCCAATAAGAGTTTAATTGTAGTGTAGTACAAGAATTAATTAATGTTTGACAGTAGTGTAGTCCAAAATGATGAATCACATGATCCAAAATGCTTCCTATAAACTATTATATTAACTTTTTTTAGAGAGGTGGTAGACTAAGTGGGGAAAGTAGGCTAAAGTTGAGGCTAAGGAACCTCCATTGAGTTTGAGCTTTTTTGATCAAATGATTTCCAAAAATATATGGTGCTACTTTCACTCAATGACTTGGACAAATAAACTAAGGAACTGTTTTATACTTTTACTCAATGTCTTAATGTCTACACATTATTTGCACGAAAAATCTACTGAGGAGGCAACACTGTTTGGGGGTTGGAAAAGCAGAGTTTTTCATGGACTTGGATGATTAAATTTTTCTAACATTTTTATTTAGAAAGTAAACAGATTGATAAAGGAGTTCAAGTGTGATAGTACTGAATACTGATTTAGACCTGATGAAAATATATTTATCTTAAACATTGCCACTTTCATATATAAATGTGATGTGATCATGTAAAGGATGAGACATATATACTAATCTTATAATAATGGCTGGAAAGAAGGTGAAGACCGAGGAGACGATGAAGGTGGCAATGATGGAGGAGAATGGCGAGGTTAAGCATTTCCGGGGAAGTACTTTGTCCCATGTTGATTGATGATTTGGTGTCTAAATTGGAGGATATGCTGAGAAATTAGAGAGGGTTTAGGGATAGGATTCAGAAAATGGATATAAGGAAAATTTCCAACCTAAACTGCATGATATGCATGTGATGGCATAGAAAGATAGACAAAAACATAAATAGAAGTAAATGCCCAAAGGTATTACATCTTGAGATGAAAAAATTAAGAACATAATGTAACAAAAGGATATTACTAAATGCATCCATAATCATGAATCATACTACAACTTAAATTATTTCCACACAATTTTTAACATTTTTTACCTTCCTATAATTTAAGTAACTAAACTAATATTTCCCGTATGTTTTTCTAAAGGATCTCTCACAACCTATTATTTTACACATTTTTCTCTTATGCAGTCCCACAATTTCTAAGAACTGATGCCTCAAGAACCACGAAGAACTGAGGTGTTGTAAGAATGAAGAACCGTGCACGGTTCTTAAAATATTAAGAACCCTGTTGTGTGTTACCATAAATTCTAAATGATTCCGGAAACTTTGAGTGAAGATAGTACAACAAAAATGATCCACAGCAACATGAAGTAGATACAGGTAACCCACGCCCAGAGCTTTGGCCCTCCTAGCTCTGCACCAAAAATTAGACGCCTCAAAACCAAAACTATGATACACCCAGCAGATGTACAGAAGAAAACAAGCAACGAAAAGCTTAGTCCGGCTGCATTTTGGATCCGGAGAGGTTCTCTGTATGCTATGAAGTTGTATAAAGTATCTATAAGCCATGGAACTCCAATACCAACATATATATTCACTGAATTACTGCCAAAAGAATAAATACCAAAGTTAATTTGAGTTCAAGTAACTCTATTAAGCTCAATCATAAAAACAACAATGATTAGTTTCACAAGCCATTAAAATAACCTAAAGTTTCATCTGTGCTTCATAAATACAGAACTCAGATGGAAATCAAATGAAAGAGCAAAAACATCTCACGATATATTATCTAAGGTCTCTGAATTAGTGGGTATTCATGTACATATTGACCGATTTCTGTTTGTCGTAAAAAAAAATCAATTCCTAATTTTGACATCATGATTTCCAAGAAGAAATGACAAATAGAAATCCTAATGAACATAGATATCGTATATGACATTTCTACATGATCATATTGAACTCCTTATGAACATACGAGTTCTCTTTGCTCTGGCATCCAAATATGTACTCACTGATCACTATACTTTAAATATTAATGACAAAATTCAGGTTCAAGAAGTCCTTGAGGATTTCCAAGTTTACTTGACCTATGTTCATAATTTTCAAGAATCAAAGGACATTTTTCTGTGCAATTAACATTTCAATCTTCATTTTGATGACATTTTTTTATAACACAAATATACACAGTTTGCTGACATACAATGAACTTCCAGAAGCCAGCCCCATAATAATCACATATAGGACTACAGACTTTGATGATAGCAGCCAAGTTTTATCTTAAATCAGATGAGACACTAGAAACAGGTAATCAAGCCAACAAGGAGTTAAACCACTTCTGAGTAAAATTTCCTTTCAGACGCTTCAGGAGCTCAGGGTAAACTATAAAATACTAAAGATCAATTGAATTACAGGAATATTACCTATTACTAATATCATTCTTTAATGAAAACCATGATGTAATGATAACAAGTGACCATGTGCAAAAACTAGAATGAGATGCATATTGAGATGAAGACCTGCAAGTGATGTTTGCAATAGCAGAGTCTGCAGTTAGTTGACGTTCAGCAGCAATCTTGCTCGCCACTAAATCGGGCCATGAGGTTCCACTGGCTAATGCTGTAAAGGCTATGACATAAGCATTTATTCCTGTCAGAGGAAAAAAGGAGAAGAAATTAGAAGACGCAGATCTGACAGAGTCATATGTAGAGGCAACTTTGGATTTATAATGAATTGTGAAGTGGATTGGACATCATTATGAGTGAGAAAGAAAACCTGTGACACAACTTATAAGATCTGTGATTTTTGTTACAATGTAAGCTATCCCACTGATGAAAACAAGAGAGCAAATGAAAGAGATCCATCCATGAGCAATATGGCATGGAGGAATAAAAGCAAACATAAATTTCCATGGTAAAAGCAGCAATTGCCAGAAAATTCTAGCCATGCGGAGATAGATGTTGCTCAATTTTTTTGATTCTGGGTTCTCCAACTGTTAAATAAATTACAGTCTGGTTATAAAAAATTGACAATAAAATATTTGAATTAACATGAGTATTATTAGGAAAATACTGCTCATAAGTCATAATATCAAACTAATGTATAAAAAAGGGTGGTCCAATGCATGAGGCTCTCACCCAGTGGGGTCTGGGGAAGGTAGATGTATGTATCAGTCTTCCCCTCACAAGGAAATAAGCTATTTCCCAGATTTGAATCTATGACCTCCAGGTCACAAGGCAAGCTAATGTATCTCTTTACAAAAACATGCCTAACTATTAAAGGACATAAGGTTAGTAAAAGGCACTATATTGTCCATATCTTGGCTCCACAAACTTTGGAATTTTTTCACAATGAATTACTCCAATAAGAGCTAGATTTAAATAAATGTTTCTACTTTATGACTACATAAAGTAACGAGGGATTTGGCATAATAAATTTGGCTTCAATAATCCGACTTTCCATTTTACAATATTTCATTTTGTAATTTATTAGTGTGGGATAACAAACCAATGCGGTAAACATGGAAAATTGGACACGCTGAGCTGACTTTCTAAGGAAGTTTTGTGAAGTGAGAGACAAAAGAAACGGAGGATTAAAATAGAGAGAAAATGATATTGAACTTGAAAAACCAAAAGGAGGAGAGAAGTGGATCCATAATTACAGGAATTACTGGAAAAAAAGAAGACAACAAAAAGTGAGATCAAGACAGGAACAGAAGGGGCAGACATGGCATTGAAATTGCAGTATTCCTGTAAAATCCATGAGGCTATTCATCACCTTTTCTCCTGTTTATTTGTTTTCAATGTGCTTCTGGAACTTGCAATAATTTTCAATAATGTATTAGTTAAAAAAAAGTGAATTAATTGGCAGTAAAGAATCATATAATTCATTCAACAACAAAATTATACTAACAATGTTTGCCAGACCATGACAAGACCTTGCTCTAAATGGTTTTATCAAAATTTTGGATTTTGTGAGTCCAACAGCATCAATTGATTCATGTAGTACTCCCAGCTAATGGGGTGAGGCTTGGTTTGTTATTCCTAATATAAGATATCAGCCATTTACTGCATTTACTGTTAACAGACGCATTTCCAACCAAAAAAATGAAATACCCTCAATGCATCCACAAATTGATGTCTCCAAATTGTAAGCAAATCAGTATCCTCCAGCATAATTTCCTTAGCTTTGTGAGAAACTTCAGCAGCGTCATCTCTTTGAGGTACTCTTACATACATTGAATCTGTAAATTATGAAATACCCAAGATGTTCTGGCATATAAGTTTCAGAATGTTTCTAATGCTAAGAAAAGTAACTTAGAAGAAAAACACAATGTAAAATTTGTGCTTATAAAATCCAAATTTGACTATGTTAAGGAGGGGGAACTACCTGTGGGGTATTCTGAATGAATGGAAAAAATATCAACAGTGTCCCCATTATCTTCATTAACATGAATTGTCTCAGAGAACTCCACCTTCTCATCGGTTTCTTGTATAAAATTAGGAGTCTCTTCTGGCACCCAATCCTCTGGCCTCTCATCTCTTGCACTTCAAATATAAATGAGACTTCAGACAAAAATGATCAAGATAGAATAAATTCTTTAATTGTAACTGAAAGATT